TGTGAGACAACGCTTCGCGAAAGCTTTATTATTCCCATTTTTACGATTCGTCCGGCTGACTCTGTCGGTTGCAACTGTCGACGTTGCGTACTTGGCATCTCGCATGTCCATCGCGGGGCCCGCGAGTTCCATGTTAAGTCCTTGGCCCAGTAACGATGTCGAAGAGCTCGATTGCTTGGGAATTCACCGGCCACGGCACTTACACGCTTCATGTCCGCGATATAATTCCCTCACGTATCTACATCTGTTAATTCGCGCGAACATAACTCGCATTGACAATCGCTCGAATATTCGCCCGGTATAAAGCGCAGGAACGTAAGGCAGCGTTCGATTCAAGTCGGCGGGCACGGTAGACATAAAAGGCTTAACAACTTATCGAGATAAAACGGCCGAATATTTATGCGTGACTCGAGTTTAAAATTACAAGATAAGAAACAAACGGGTAAAGAGGATCTCGTTCACGATACGTCTCCGAGATCCCGTTTCGTTTCGCTATCCCGATTTAATTGATCGAAGCGCATGCGTTTCCCCCTCGCGAATCGCAATCGCAACGCACGGAGAGACCACCGGAATGACGATGTGAACGATTTGACCGCGACGTGGACGACGACGGCAACATGCTGGCACTAATTGCAGCGGCGCATAATTGCTCGATAAACATCCTGTTAATCTCACTTTTATGCGCCATACATTGTGCCGCGGCAATGCTCGTAGCACGCAAGTCCCCCCCCTCCCTCCCCCACCCTCATTTCCTCCCTTTTTCTCTCTCCTTCTCCCTTGCTCTTTCTCTTTCGCGTAATACGACTTGGGAACACGTCATGATTTTCACTGGCGCGTATACGCGCCGCATCCGTTACGGGCGCCATGTTTCCGAGGACCTCTGGCAAAATATATTTCGCCGGCTGACAGTGGAAATAACGTTTACCGTCGTGACTTATGGAAAGCGAATACACTCGGGCGAGCGTTGGCGTTAATTTACACGGAGCTTCTGCCGCGCGTCTCGCGGGAACAATGCCGTGGTAAAAAGCGCGTATTTGGAAAACTGGTTCTTGCTTTACTTGAAAGTCGGAAACATTATTAATCCCGACGGGAGTGTTCGCTTTTCGGCATGGAGTATGGAAATAATCTGGGTACGTCATCGCGAATACATCGACAGTCGCTCATCCGTCGCGTCGAAAATCCGAACTCCTTGCGATTTCGCCTGAAAATGCGCGTGAGATTAAAAACCGATTGTTTCGAAGCTAACTTCTTTTAAAATTATTTTTATGGAAAAACGGCACGATATGCGACGTTTTGTTCAAATTCATGCATTTACTTTATATTATTTTTGCGTATTTATTTATTACTTTCGGCGTATATATTTATTATTTTTGGCTTATTTCTGGCTTATTTCAAAGAGGGATATGATGGATTTTAATATTTTGAGTTAGCAACATTAGTAAGAAAATGAGAAAAAGATGAGGAAGGTTAGCTTGCAGATGGGAAGATAATCTCAATAATTATATAATAGTAAGAATACTCACCATACTTTGTAGCTGCTCGTTATAATTTGGCATATTAAAAAGAGATATTTTTGATTCATGATATACAAAAATTATAACGAAAATAGTATAATTCCAAGAAAACATGACGGCCAGATCATGTGACTTAGACAATCAAACCGATCCTGCCTAAAATGCCGTTTCTCTATATTACTTCTGGGATTCTACTTTCGTCTTATTCTCTGGACCGAAGATAACGATAACAAGAAATCATCATAAACATTTTTTAACCAAACACAAAATTACATAGAACCCTGCGACTAGATGTCACGGTAAAAGGTGGGAAGATAAAAGGTGACTGTCCTACCGAAAGAGTAAACGCTAGAGTTACTTCAGCGTCTAGGCGAAGTTTTCGGTAACATATTGAGAGTATCTCGGGAACTTCACCGAAATTCTACGCGAGAGAAAGAGAAAGAAAGAGAGAGAGAGAGAGAGATCCATCAAACGAATTCTCAAATCGCCGCCTCACGCGGAACTGATGCGTTTTAACGTTTTCAAATTTCATTCAATTTCGTTAAGAGCGCGCATTTCGAGCGATTGTCTTGCACGATACGCGTCGTCGTGAGCGATGATGCGTACTTCATATCCGCGAAGAAAATTTATCTGACGAGCCCGCCTCGATGTGTAATATACGTTGCTGCATAATTATATCGATGGAATATCGCAATATCGCAAATATCCGTAATTAGATGGCTTCACGGCGTAATGAATAACGCGCGGAATTTGCGACGCTGAATTATTGTTGCGGGCGAGAAAAAAATATCGATCTCTTGCGATGGAAATTATTAGACTGCGGAAAAACAACGCTGCATAGAAGGCGTATGACTCGATTAGAAGAATGATCCGTGGAGGAAGTTCTGCCATTTTCCCTCTTTGCGGAAAATACCAAGCGCGATCGTCGCGTTTAATCGGCGATCGGCCGACGCCGACGCGTCACGTCTCGATGTCCGAGTTTCAATTTTACCCGTACGTCCGTGCGCGATACACACGGAAGAGATCGAGAGGTGCATGAAGCGCACGATCGCGGACGGACGGCAGGTTGGAAACCACTTTGCGCAAAGCCGATCGGCGGGCGTCGGCGTTTCGCATCAAAGCGAAAACGCGGGGTAAAGAGTGGCGCATGAACACGCTCGTAAAGACGAGACGAACACAGATAAGCCCCGAGCCCAGGGTCTACGTGCCTCGCAGACGAACGGCGCGCGCGGCCAGGAAAAACGAATCCACCCGCCGGGAGAAAGAGGGATGGATGTTGCGCGATGGTTCTCGAGTTACCACGCAGAGGGAAAGAGAGAGAGAAACAGAGAAGAGAGAAGAAACAGAAGAGAGAAAGAGAGAGAGGGAGAGAGAGAGAAGAAGGGCCGGAGGGTGGGCGGGCAGTCGGGGGTGGAAAAGTTCCGCCTAACGTCTTGGAAGTGTCTCAAAAGGAGAACTCCGACGTCGGTTGGGACTCGGGCTCTAAGTGTATCACATAGTAAATTTAGTTTTCCAACCTCCGTTTCCATCCCCCTGGGCGCCACCCTTCACGTCTCTCTCGCGGCCACCCCTTTTCTCTATTTCGCGGACGAGTCTCGGGAGTCGAGTTCGAGCCGAGTCGAGCGAACGGTGCAGATGCAGCCAGGACGCGCGAGTCCTTGCTCCGAGAGCGCGTATCCTGAGGGGATAGATCGGGCGCGCTACGTTAGCCAACATGGCGCGGCAGCTTCTGCAGCCGTTCGAGCGAATCTGGCCGATCAAACGGGGGCTAAGAGCCGCGCTTTCGTCCGGGTTAACTCAATCCACTAGCTTTCTATCTCCCCGACCTCTTTCTCTCTCTCTCCCTCTCTCTCTCCGTCTCTGTCTCTCGCTGTTTCTCTCCCCCGTTTTCGCCGCCACCCTTCCGGTGCTCTGTGTTATTCCTGGCTGCATCATCCCACCCCGCTTCTTCCACCTACTCCTACAGGATGCTTCTCTCCCGCGCCATCCACGACCGTTCCAATCGATGAGTTCGCGACAACGGGCCTTTAGATACTTTCAGGAGCCTCTGCCGGGCTTCTATTCCCTCCGGGGGTTAGGTCTCGATGGTTTTCTGATCGGGACTTCTCGAGAGGAAGAGAGAGAGAGGCTGCTCGATTTACTCGCGGCAAGACACACCCTCCCCGCTGCGAGTTAATTCGAGGAGGGTCGGACGGTCTGTATAACATAACGAAGGGTTCCCTAACGTATCTCGAAAAAAAAATCTACTCTAAATGTCCGCGTCGCGATGTGGAAATTGCGGCTCTTCGAGGACAGTCGATGTAACGTCGGTATAACGTACGCGTCAGACGAAAATCCGCGTGATTCATGTTCACACGTACACACACACACACACACGCACACACACTCATACGGTTATTTTGTCGTGTCACAGCGAATATGCGCTCGTTCGACGCTTCGATCGAACCTCCGAAATTTTGGACAGCGTCCAAGTGTCGTGCCTCCTGCTCTTCACGCCGCGTTACCGGCACCGTCCACCTTTTCCTCTCCGATAATCGCTCGCAATTTTACGCTTTGTCAAAATGAAGCGTAAAATAGAATATCATCTGCCCGTCATCGACTGGCATTGCCGTCTTTTCGAGAAAGAGGGAGAGAGAGGAAGAGGGGAGAAGGAAAGAGCAGAACAAGGACGACGGTGTGACGAGGTTCGCGGCAGATAAAATGGACACGGGCGGCGCGATTGTGTGCCGCGTGTGAGCGTGACTTGTATCGGGTGTAATCGGTTTCCTCGGGGAATCCCACCCTCTCTTTCCCTATCTCTCCCCGGATACGGCGACGTACCGGGGGGATAATTTGCGGCGTCTCGACGCGGCTGCGTGGTCCAATCCGCGGTACCAGCCAATCGGCTCTCAGCTGCGCGCAGAGAGTCGAACTGAGAACAAAAGGATCTCTATCTCCCTCCCTCTCTCTCTCTTTCTCTTTCGCCGATAGAGAGGCGGCTGCAATCGCCATGCAGGCAACGGCAAAAACGACCACCACGTATAACCCACGCGCGCGGCATCGATTCCACCCTCCGCGAAAACAAAAGCCGCCCTCGGTACTTCGCAGTCTACGGGCCTGATGATAGACCGGCGACACTTTATAGTGATCTTTTTGGCAAGGTGATCGCACCAGCATCGCGTTATATATACGGACGCTGCGCGAAACTTGTGTATGTATGGGGCGTCTCCAAATCATTGTTATAATTTTTGCAACCCTTCTCCTAATGTTGTATATCCTTTAGAAAGTAAATTTCGATGTCTCGTCAAGAGCGAACTTACATGGAGTCACGCGAGTGTGAACTTTTGTTATTCGTTTGTAGACTTGTCAAAGTAATACAAGTAACTGAATAAAAAGACTAAATACGCTTCGTTCCTTTCTTCCTTTTACTATAATTTTATCGCGCTGATTTGCGCAAAGAGACGGAGAGGCGAAGGGGACGTTCAATGGGCAATTTTGCAATTTCAGGTGGCAAAGAGGATGATCCTAAAAGCTCGTCCTCGAGCTCCCTGGGTTCCGCGCAAAGTAAGAAGCAGCGTAAAGCGCGCACAGCTTTCACGGATCACCAGCTTCAGACCCTCGAGAAGAGCTTCGAGCGGCAGAAGTACCTCAGCGTTCAGGACAGAATGGAACTAGCGGCGAAACTGCAGCTGACGGACACGCAAGTGAAAACGTGGTACCAAAACAGAAGGTGAGCGAAACCGCGGAAGATGCGTTACTAATTTCTAAATGAGACGCGACGCGGCATATGCGAACGATGATGAAATTTAGCGATCGCCGGTGGCCGGCCGATGTAAACAATCGCGATTACGACGGTAGCTTCTTGTGTGTCTAAAAATTCGTTCGGGTTTAGCCCGGAATTAACACAGTCACAGACGAAATATGCGAATGTAATATTCGTAATTTTCCCATTATCTAATTAAACACTGAAAATTAATGTATGCATATGATTGTGCACACGTAAAATAATGTTTGTCAAGGGAAATCTTTATTTTTCCTCTCGAAAGAGTCGACGAAAGTTTCCACGAATTTATATCGTTTGAATTTTTCGGCGCAGAGTTTCTTATTAAAATTCTGAAGAGATTTTTATTGAAAGATAATTACTATATAGAAGTATCTTCACCCCCCCCCCCTTCAGCACGATTGACTACATGATGAGGCTGCATATAAAAAGCTTGAATAGCCGTTAAAAGTCTGAAACTCTAAAGAGACAAAGGTGGGACCATGAACGATCGATCGTCCTCTCGATGCTCGCGTTACATTGTGAATATCGGATAGAAAGCCTCTCATCACGATCCCCTGTCTCGGAAGCATGGCGGCGCGTTCCTTTGTGCCGGCGCGTGTCGAATCCGTAAATGGAAATCGCGGCGGGCAACAAAGGCGTTGTTTACGTGGTTAAACGCGAGGATCGTTGGTCAAAACCCGAGTAAATATCTCGAGAGTCATGCGCCTCCGTTACCGGTTTTGAGACTCGGTCTTAAGAATATTGTCTTCGTCGACACTTTAATAAGCCGAAGAAAACGGCACACAGATCGGCGCAACGCGTGAATATATTTTGCGAGTTGAATTGTGATAACGGAGCTGTTAACACGCCAACACGTTGATTTTCACGGATTTTTCCAAATTTTAAGCTCAAGTTTGAATAAACAAAGTTATGACAAATACATTTATTTTTCCTAACGCGTACAAACAGAAAAATACATATTACACTCAAATAAATATTATTTGTTTTAAATGTTTTTTGTAAGTTTATATATCCGCAAATATATCGTAAGTACATCATGAGAATCAGATTTATTCAAAATATATTCTGAGTCCTGGTAAATTTCGTATTTCAATCAAGAATATTAAATTAAAACACTAAAACTGAAACTTCAGTTTACTTATATTTAAATTAACCGAATTTTCTTCGATAAAGTTTACAATATTCTTGAAAAGAGAACAAATTCTTTTGAGTAAATGATAACAATCTTTTCTAATGTTTGTGATTAATATATTTTAATACTACTATCAAGAAGAACAAAATTTTTGTTCAAGATAATTGTTACTTAAAAGAGGAAAAATAAATTGAATAATTGCTATTCTTCACAGTACAATAATATTTGTCTCTGTGTACATTTGTTAGCTAGTAGTTATTTTTAATATATTCAATCCGTCAGATACAATTAGTTACGCTTCATGCGTACATTAATAAGGCACAGCAAAATTATAATACTGATCGTTGAAAATTGCTATAGCAATTAACTAATGTTAATTGTTACTTTTCTCATTGGAAATCAATGCGACACTTCGCGAGTATTGAAATTCTAAAAGATCATTGCACGATGATATTCCTCGATGTCGCGAAGTCCTACAAATTAAATTAGATTCGAAAATTTTGACACGAAAATTCCAAGAGTGATTTCTCATGTTGCAAGAAGATAAACTTTATTCTTCAACTGAACATTAAATGTAACGATTTTCTCTACGAGTAATTCATCAAGCATCTAATTTGGTATGAAATCAAAGGATCAGGTAATCCGTGCGTAATAGTTAAGGCTTATTACCAGTAATCATCGTGTCAGCTGATTGCTATAGCGTACGTAGTACTTACAGACAGCGAAATATAAAATCAGCTGGGTTGTTAAAACCGATATCAGCTGAAGCGCGGAAATAAATAACAGATGACGGATCGTTACGTGCGTTTGCGTAGTTACACGGTTCTGAACACGCGGAATCTATGAAATATCACTGGTCAGTTATGATTGTTCATAGCTCGAAAGATATAATAACCTCGATTCGCGTAAAGGTTCTCGAATCTAATTAAGCTCCAGAGTGCGCCGGAATGAAGATGTCCTCCGACAGTTTTGAGATGTCTCATATAATCGAATGAAGATTTTAACTTCGATTTTTTTTTTAAATCTTCTTTCGAATTCATCTGGAGATATCGAAATTAGATCGAAGAAATTACATCGATATTAGAAGGGGGATTACATGAAACGAACCCGAATCGAATTAGAGCACTTCTGCTGTGTTAGTTCGCCACACCACTTGATTCAGATACGTCGACCGGCTCGCTTACGAAAGTAAAACTAGGCGGTTAGAATCGGTTTCACAATCTTCCGCGGCGTCCTTTGTAAGCGCGATTTCACAAAGTCATCCAGTGATCGCCTGCAGTTCCGTGATTTTTACACGCCGCGCACCTCTTTCCAATCATCGAACTCGTCGCTCGGCCCATGTATCCCGTACCAAAAGTTTACCGAGAAAAATTAAAGACACACATACACACACCGCAAACAGTTCAAGGAATTCGCCTCGACACGCTCCGTCTGAGTCTAATGCCGTAGAAAGTTCTAACTCTCCCGCTTTGGACGTCTTCGTATCATTTGAGATTCTCACACAACGTAGTGATACGAGATTATCCTCGCTATTTTATTTGCACGGTGATAAATTAGCAAGAAATATCGCCACGAGATTCGAAACTTCTTCTTCGAATATCCCGCTAACGAGGGTACGCCGCAAAGAAATCGCTACTTTGCCGATTATTTTTCTAATTCTAGAAATTTCACAGCCTCTCTCGGTTTACTTACGCACTCTACGTCTTGCTCTCTAAAGTGTAATCAGTCAAGAGTCACTAGTAATCATAGTTATAAATATAGCACTGTGAATCAGTAAAATTTCGTTGCAAAAGCCTGTTATTAGCGGCAATTCCATCGGAGAAATCTAACTGCAGAAACAATGAAATAAGATATTACTTATTACTTCTGTTTCGTTATTTTGATGCCACTTTTAATAATTCTCAATGATTTTGCCTGAAATATGTTTAATTATGTTTAATTGATCGACGCACTTGAATCCTGATGAGACGCGAACTCGAAATCTCGAACTCTTGAGTTCGCTGCCGTACAAACTACGCCATATGATTGAGCGCACGATACGTACATATATATTTCCGCTACGAGACGCGTAACAGTGATTTGTAAATAGTAAATCTTTCACCGGCGAAAATACTCACTGATTATCAGTAGAACACCGTCCCACTGATTCAATTAGTGACGTTTTCACTGATTCGACTCAAGAGAACGGATACTCTCTCACCACGAGAGAGCCCGGATAAAATTTCTCGCGCACATTCGACTTTCGCGGCGGCATCCGCCGGCCGGTCGGTCAGCCGGCCAAATTAATTCCACTAATTATCAATACCCTCTTGTTTCTCTCGCCGTGCCGAACGGTACGGTGATTAGCAGGGAACACCCACAAGTCATGACTTCGCGACTTCTCCGGGCGGCCGTTTAGTTTAGACAAGCGGCCGATCGCGCACAAAGAAGGTGAATCGTTAATGAGGATCTTCGTAGATCGTGATGTACGATGTACGAAAAGGCGAGACGCGAGGCGAGGCGAGCGCCGGACTCTAGACTGTGTCATTAGACTGTCAATTACCGGTGGAGCGAATGGCGTAATGACAGGCAGCGGGGCTGCCAAGCGTTACGGCGCTCCGATCGTGAAAGACTACCTGCATTTCGGTGGCCGTTCAATTTTTCAAGCGTAATTGCGTGCCGCCGCGAGAGAAAGAGAGAGACCACGGCTCGTTTTTTTCTTCTCTTGTCTTTTTATTCTCAAAGAGACGCTGCTCGTTTCCCATATCACGACGGCGAGTGGGCCTCCCCCTTTCGCCGTATCGCAACTGCGAGCGCGTGTAATCGTTACGGCTATTTATTTCTACAGTCGGCAGTTTGCTCGCTCATTATGTCGAATCGACGTAATGGACTACGGTGATTAAGAGTCGCTTTTGATACAGAATACTTTGCGCTGCGCGCGAATTACTGTTATAGACAGCTCGTTATTCTAGCTCGCGTTACGCTCGCTGTCGCTCGCCGATCGAGAAACAACGAAGCCGACGTTTGCCCGTTAGCTCGTGCGTGTCGAATTGAAAACGTGTGCGTGCCCGGGACAACGATGTTTCATTCGCGCGCGCACGCGGAATGGAGCGTGCTCCTTCGCGACCCGAAGTGTTTTTATCACGGACTTTTGGCCCGGCCAATCGAGCGAACGAATATTATTAACAGTCGCGGGCGACGCGAACTCGAGTGACGGGCTGGACAAGCTGCTTATACAGGGTGTCTCGAATCAACACAGACGAAGCTCGCGAGGACGTAGAATATACCGAAATGAACTGAGAAATCCTATACCGTCATGCGATATTCGCCGTAATTAATGAGGAATCACTCCGGAAATTAGTTCATGCTCATCTACTAGGAGGATCTGAAAAAATTCGCCATTTTTTCACACAGAGTCCGGCATACTGCCTTCTGTGCGCTCATTATCCCACGTAGATTAATTAATTCCTCATTAACTATTACGAATATCGCAAAAACGGTATGGGACTTTTTTGTTCACCTCAATCTGTTCCACGTCCTCAAGAGCTTTGTCTGTGTTAATCTAGGACACCTTGTGTGTATAAGAGGACTCATATAATAATAATAATACTAGCTTTATTGAGCAACGCCACATAGTTAGAGATACAAAGGAGTAAGATAAAGTTAGCTAAGAGTGATCGAAAGGCGAGGCATCAACATTAAAGCTGTTTATAATGTCTTACTTGGAAAGAACTGGTTAATCAAGATTAAGTCGAATATAGTCGCTAGCAATGAAGCGAAGAGCATGGAGAGAGAATGCAGCACAAATGCTAGAAGGAAGCAGATTGTAATATTT